AAAAGGGCAGGGCGTCAAGAAAACATGGCAGGGTGCCATACCACGCCAAAACCTCCTGTAGGAAACACTAATTGTACAAGGAAAATTTTTGTAAAACTTCTTGGCTTTTAAGGAAGGGAATGCTTTTATATTTGGTCTGCAGCTGATAAAGTTGAGTCTTAGCATGTTACACAGGAGTAAGTTCACGACAGGTTAAAATTGGCCATAAGATTTTGATGTTTTTTTAATCAGGCCAAAATGCTACAAATTGTACATAGAAATAGATGTGATATTACTATAAATACAAAATAACTTCAGTTTGGCACATCACATTAAAAATGACGAAGTATTGACTCCTTAAGTATGAATTATTTGAGTTGAAACATCAACTTTGGTCATATTTTCAATAATTCTAAACAGTTTTCTGTATAATTTACTTTGGCTGCAACCCATGTTCCAGAACGTTTTTGTCGAGCCTGCGACTTTTGTCGCAGAAAGCTCGACATAGGGATAGTGATCCGGCGGCGGCGGCGGCGGCGGCTACGGCGGCGGCGGCGTTAGCTAACTTCTTAAAAGCTTTATATTTTAGAAGGTGGGAGGTCTGGATGCTTCATACTTTGTATATGGATGCCTCATGTTACGAAGTTTCCGTCAGTCACATGTCCAATGTCCTTGACCTCATTTTCATGGTTCAATGACTACTTGAAAAAAAAGTTAAGATTTTTTGTAATGTTAGATTCTCTCTTATTATAAGTAATAGGATAACTATATTTGGTATGTGCGTACCTTGCAAGGTCCTCATGCCCGTCACACAGTTTTCACTTGACCTCGACCTCATTTCATGGATCAATGAACAAGGTTAAGTTTTGGTGGTCAAGTCCATATCTCAGATACTATAAGCAATAGGTCTAGTATATTCGGTGTATGGAAGGACTGTAAGGTGTACATGTCCAACTGGCAGGTGTCATCTGACCTTGACCTCATTTTCATGGTTCAGTGTTTATAGTTAAGTTTTTGTGTTTTGGTCTGTTTTTCTTATACTGTATGCCATAGGTCTACTATATTTGGTGTATGGAATGATTGTAAGGTGTACATGTCTAGCGGGCAGGTGTCTTCTGACCTTGACCTCATTTTCATGGTTCAGTGGTCAAAGTTAAGTTTTTGAGTTTTGGTCTTTTTTTCTAATACTTTATGCAATAGGTCATCTATATTTGGTGTATGGAAATATTTTATGATATACCTGTCAGTCTTGCAGGTTTTATTTGACCTTGACCTCATTTTCACGGTTCATTGCTCAGTGTTAAGTTTTTGTGTTTTGGTCTGTTTTTCTAATACTATAAGCAATAGGGTCAACTATATTTGTTGTATGGAAGGATTGCAAGCTGTATTACATGTCTGCCTGGCATTGTTCATCTGACCTTGACCTCATTTTATTGGTTCATTGGTCAATGTTTAGTTTTCTTGGTTAAGTCTGTATCTTAGAAACTATAAACAATAGGTCAACTATATTTAGTGTATTGAATGATTGTAAGGTGTACATGTATTTCTTGTTTGGTTTATATGACCTTGACCTCATTTTCTTGGATCATGTTAAGTGTATGTGATAGTTGTAGTAAAGCTTTATATTTAGGACTATCAACATAATATCAATGGTTAGTAAAGAAGGCGAGACATTTCAGCGTGTGCACTCTTGTTGTGTCTAGGGATTCAATATAATCATTGGCAACTTTTGGTTACAAAACATTTTGGATCCTAGGTTGCAGCCAAGGGTTGCCTCAAGCTTATAGGTCCGAAAAAATGCATAAAATCATCTTATTTTGACAATACATGTATATCTAAAATGTGCTGATTTTGAATCCAAGAATGTACTCTTATGAAGAGATTTATTTTAACAAAGAAGTAAGACTTTTGAAATAGATCCATTTAAGAAACCAAATTATGGCCATTTTGAAATTTTCTGATAAAGCTGAAATTCAAGGCCATATTTGGCCTAAAGTGAACCTTTTTATATTAGGTCTGCACCTTGATAATGTTGAGTGGTAGCCTGTTACAAATTTTAACATTTGCTGTTTGAAATTTTACAACACTCATTGTTCAAGGAAAATTTTTGTAAAACTTTTCTTGGCTTCTAAGGAAGGGAATGCTTTTATATTTGGTCTGCATCTTGATAATCTTGAGTTGTGGCATGTTAGCAATTTTTGCATCTGCTGTGTAGCCACTTCCTTTTTGCCAATAGATTGAAATTTTACAACGCTCATTTTACAAGGAAACTTTTCATCAAAGTTTTCTTTATAAAAATAAGAAGATGTGGTATGATTGCCAATGAGATAACTCTCCACCAGAGACCAAATGATGTAGAAGTTAACAACTATAGGTAACCGTACTACCTTCAACAATGAGCGAAACCCATATCGCATATATATATAGTATTCTACGTATAAAAGGCCCAGAAATTACCAATGCAAAACAATCAGACAAAACAAAAAAATTAATCACATGATTTATGTAAAAAAAACAATAAACCAAAACCAAATATGATATACAGTAACAAACGATACAACTGAATAACAGGCTCCTGACTTGAAATAGGCACAAACAGAATAGGCTAGTGTCATTTTTGAAGAGGGCTTTGATCGTGTTGATTTAAGGACTTTAATGCACCAACCTAAAATATGGCTTTATAATAAAACTTTGAAATATTATGACTTAACTTTTCAGGGGTTTAAATTATTGGAAGTCCAAGGTACATAACCTTTCATTTCTGAGAGGAAACCTTTGGTTTTTGAAATACAAAAGTCCAAAACCTCCCATATTTTTACATTGATGTTTTTTTTAGGACCTATGACTTTCTGAAGGGCCTTTCACTTAAAAATTCAAATGGTCCAGGACCTTATATTCTTTAAAGCAAATTAAAGCAAATTTAAGAACTTACTAATAGAAGTAAATTTGAACCTTCAATCCTGTTAGAAAGCAGGGGAATATATCTTTGATCATTATATCATTTTGTTATAATAATTATACCCCATGGAACAAAGTTCAGTAGGGTATAATGTTTTTGACTCATCCGTCAGTCTGTTAGTCAGTCAGTCAGTCAGTCCGTCTCTCAGTCCTGTTCTTGTCATAGCAACTCCTCTCAAACCACACAACAGAATTTCATGAAACTTTGTAGATAATTAGGACATAATATGTAGATGTGCATATACTCAAGAAATTTTTATCAGTTGACTTTTGTAGGAGTTATTTGTCTTTGAACTTAAAAATTGAGCAAGATTTTGTTTGCCCAGTGACAATGTGGGGGTGTTGGGTATGTAAGTGTGCTCACAAAGGTTCTTTAATTAAGAGATGTTGTATGAATGATGGTGAAACAGTTATCCCTAGTCAGAAGGACAAAGATATAAACAACTACAGATAATAGATGAGGTATGATTGCCAATGAGACAACTCTCCCTCCAAGCCACAATTTATAACGTTAAACCATTATAGGTCGTAGATCGGCCTTCAACAAGGAGCCTTGGCTCACACCGAACAGCAAGCTATAAAGGGCCCCAAAAAATTACTAGTGTAAAACCATTCAAACGGGAAAACCAACGGTCTAGTCTATATAAAAAACGAGAAACATTTATGAACCACATCAACAAACGACAACTACTGAACATCAGATTGACAGGTCTCTCAATAGCCTTTGAAATTGCACAAAACCAATACCATATTATAATATAAAAATTCGTAAGGGTTCCGCGGAACCCAGTGTCTCGCCTACTTTTTCTGTTAATCGCAGGCTCAACAAAAATGAGGAAGTAAATCAATAAAAATATTCCTCTTGATACTATCTTTTGATTGTAAGAACTTTCTGTCCAAGTTTGGTAAAAATCCAGGATAGTTTATGAATCTAATAAATGTTTAAAAACTTTATCTGCAGACTGAATGTAATGTTAACTTGAAGAAAACAAAATTTCCTTCTAGATACTAGCATTTGATCATAAACAAGCTTCTGTTAAAGTTTGGTGCAAATCCAAAATAGTATAAGAAAGTTATTAAAATTTAAAAAACTTTAACCACAGAGTGAATGTGTTGTTTCCTGACAGGAAATCTAAGTCCATTTAAAAGTAAAATACGGAAAAAATGGATTTATTATTTTACAAAATTTCCTTCTAGATACTAGCTTTTGATCATAAACAAGCTTCTGTCCAAGTTTGGTACAAATCCAAAATAGTATAAGAAAGTTATTAAAATTTTAAAAACTTTAACCACAGAGTGAATGTGTTGTTTCCTGGCAGAAAATCTAAGTCCATTTAAAAGTAAAATACGGAAAAAATGGATTTATTATTTTACAAAATTTCCTTCTGGATACTATCTTATGATCATAAACAAGCTTCTGTCCAAGTTTGGTAGAAACCCAGGATAGTTTAAGAAAGTTATTAAAATTTTAAAAACTTTAACCACAGAGTGAATGTAATATTTCCCGGCAGAAAAACTAAGTCCATTTATAAGTAAAATACGGAAAAAATGGAATTTTATTTTTACAAAATTTACTTCTGGATACTATCTTATGATCATAAACAAGCTTCTGTCCAAGTTTGGTAGAAATCCAAGGTAGTTTAAGAAAGTTATTAAAATTTCAAAAACTTTAACCACAGAGTGAATATTTGTGGACGCCGCCGCCGACGACGCCGACGGAATGTAGGATCGCTATGTCTCGCTTTTTCGACTAAAGTCGAAGGCTCGACAAAAATCTATAAACAGCACTGATATGATAAAATGTGTAACAAATAAAAAGAGAAAATCAACAGCCTATTACAACAATGAAAACAGGGGAGGGAATACAGCTACCAACAACAACCACTACACTACAGGTTCCTCGATATGGACAGGCACACAAAGAGAGTGTAAAAAGAACAATTGTTTAATGTGATTGCCATGATTGCCTTGCTCATTTGTGGACAGTTTATTTTAGAGAGGCTGGAAATTAATGAATTCAATATTGTCTTAATGCTGGTAAATAAAACTTTTGAAATTTTTAGGTCGGCAAAAGTGCAATTGATGTTTTTGTGTTTGAAGGAAAAAATCACACCCTGTTTGTAGAATACCTCATTTAGGTATGTTATTAGATATACAAGGTTTTGAGTTTAGTTTTTAGCCCAGCTGGCCTAAAAGGCCATGTGAGCTTTTGCCATCCCTTTGCGTCTGTCGTCTGTCCGTCTTCCCATGTTAACTTTTTCAGAGATCTTCTCTGAAAACAGGGGACCAATTTTATCCAACTTGGGCTGTCTAGTATAAAGTTTGTGTTTTTTTGTCTATCAAGAAACATGACTGCCATGACAAAGAAAATAAAACATAGGGCAAAAAAAGAAGTTTATGGCTTATATCTGAAAAAAAAGCAGTTAAAGCAAAACTGACCTAAATAGAAATGATAAGCATGTAAAGATTTATCTGCCACAAAAATTTCAAACCAATGGGACAACCTATTTGGAGTTATTGCCCCTGAAATAATAATTGTATTAAAGTTTCTGTTTTTCGATTTTATCTAGAAAACTATTAAAGATAAAGAGAAATTTCAACAGCAAAAATGTTCAGCAAGTTTAAAAAAATCTACAAATAAGTCAAACTGAACAAAATTGTAAATTAATCCCTTATTGGAGTTATTGCCCTTGAAAGATGCAGAAACTATGATAGATAGAGAGAAACCTTTAGTGGCACAAATGTTCCATAAAGTAAGATCTACCAAAATTATAGGAGCTAGGTTAAAAGTGTAAACTGTAAAAATTATCAGCACGACAAGATGTATCCACCCTGAAAATTTGGTAAAAACTAACCACTTGTTTTTGCCTCTAAACTATCTATTTTAGAATTTTTCACAGTTGGTGGCTGCTATCATAAAAACTATAGGAGTTAGGTTAAAAGTGTAAATTGCAAAAAGGTGCAACACAACAAAATATATCTAACCTAAAAATTGGAGAAAAATCTGTAACCCTGTTTTTGAGTTATTGCCCCTGAAAAATCATTTTTATACGACCGCAAAAAATTTGCGTTCGTATATTGCTATCACGTTGTCGTCGTCCGAAGACATTTGGTTAAGTGTACGGATCTCTATGAAATTTAACCAAAAGGTTCAATACCACAAAAGGAAGGTTGGGATTGTTTTTGGGGGTTATGGTCCCAACCAGTTTAGGAATTAGGGGCCAAAAAGGGGCCCAACACAAGCATTTTTCTAGTTTCAGGACAATAACTTGTGTATAAGTATTTTGATTGCTCTGAAATTGTACCACAAGGTTCAATACCACAAGTAGAAGGTTGGTATTCATTTTGGGGGTAATAGCTCACACCTTTCAGGAATTAGGGGCCAAAACAAGCATTTTTCTAAGTTTTCAGACAATAACTTGTGTTTAAATGTATGGATGTCTCTTAAATTGTACCACATTTTACAAAAAGAAAATTTCTTCAAATATTATTTTTTTTGGAGGGGGGTAAACAAAAAATATTTTTTTGGGGGGTCAATTTTTTTTCCTCAAGATTTTAGAAATTATCAATTTTCCAATTATTTTTTTGGAGGATGGGTAAACAAAATCTTTTTTGGGGGTGGGGTCAATTTTTTTCCCTCAAGATTTAAGAAAGTTTCAATTTTCCAAAAAAAAATTGGGGGTCACAATTTATTTTGCTAATTCTTTGTATATAGTCTGAAAACAGATTTACTAAGTATTGCGCAACAGCACAGTGTATTGCACAACAGCAAGAAATCTTCAATTGAATATAAATTCAAATCATATAACCAATTTCAAGTTCTTTGACTACATTTATTCTGTGTCAGAAACCTATAATGTGTCAAATATTTAATTACAATCCAAATTCAGACCTGTATCAAGCTTGAATATTGTGTCCATTTTTGCCCCAACTGTTCAGGGTTGGACCTCAGCGGTCGTATCCAGCTGCGCTCGTGAAGCACATTTATTAAAAGTGTTATCCTGTTATTGATAAACATGTAGGCGCTAGATTAAAAGTGTAAATTACAAAAATGGTCAGCTTGACAAGATTTTATAACTCTGGAAATGTTGAAAAAAATATGTAAACCTGTGTTTTTGAGTTATTGCCCCTGAAAAATACATTTTTATACGCCCGTCAATATTTTGACGGGACGTATTATGGTATACAAATGTCGTCTGTCCGGTGTAAACATGTCGCACCGTAACTTGAGAACGACTTATCCAAATTTCATGAAACTTAACATAGTTGTTTCTTATGATCGATGGTCAAACGATCTGTATACTTTTTGGTGAAAATAAGATTAAACCTTTTTGAGTTACGGGACTTAGTAACTAAAACAGGTGTGTGTTTTTTTTCACATGTCGCGCCGTATCTCAAAAACAATTTAAGATTATTGCTGAAAACTTTACACGCTTCTTAGTTATATTAATCTTAAGATCTGTATACTTTATGGTGATGATTCAAAATTTTATTTTAGAGATATTGAGTATTTTGTTAAAAAAGGGGGAGGGGTTTTTCACTTGTCGCGCCGTATCTCAAAAACAGTTTATTATTATTTCGTAAAAAAAGGGGGTTTTCGCATGTCAGAAACTATTTATGATTATTGCATAAAAATTCACACACAAGACGACGGGCATATCATGCGCTCATGGCACAGCTGTTTATTCCAATTTTTTTCATTTTTGCCTGTTATTTGGAAAATTATAGGAGCTAGCTATAGGTTAAAAGTGTAAACTATAATTACGATCAGCATGACAAGATCTTTTTACCTCAGTTTTTTTTAACTACAAGTTTTGAAGTTATTACCCCTGAAATATTGATTTTTACAGGTTTTTGTTCATGCCTGCGACTTCTCTCGCAGAAAGCTCGACAGGGATAGTGATCCAGCGGCGATGGCGGCGCTAACTAACTACTAAATAGCTAAATATTTCAGAAGCTAGAATACTTGGATGTTTCATACTCTGTATATAGATGTTTTATGTTATGAAGTTTCCGTCTGCCATATGATATGATATGTCCATTTTCCTTGACCTCATTTTCATGGTTCAGTGACTACTTGAAAAAAAATTCTAAGTTTTTTTGTATTGTTAATTTCTCTCTTATTATGAGTAAAGGATAACTATATTTGGTATGTGCGTGCCTTGCAAGGTCATCATGCCTGTCAGATAGTTTTCACTTGACCTTGACCTCATTTCACAGATCAGTGAACAAGTTTTCGTGGTCAAGTCCATATCTCAGAAATAAGCATATAAGCAATAGGTCTACTATATTTGGTGTATGGAATGATTGTAAGTTGTACATGTCCAACTGCCAGGTGTCATCTGACTTTGACCTCATTTTCATGGTTCAGTGGATATAGTTAAGTTGTTTTGTTTTGGTCTGTTTTTCTAGTACTGTATGCAATAGGTCAACTATATATGATGTATGGAAATATTTTATTATGTACAAGTTAGTCTGGCAGGTTTTATTTGACCTTGACCTCATATTTATGGCTAATTTCTCAATGTTAAGTTTTTTGTTTTGGTTGTTTTTCTTAAACTATAAGCAATGGGTCAACTATATTTGGTGTATGGAATGATTTTAAAGTGTATATATACTATATAGATATAAGAAGATGTGATATGAGTGCAAATGAGACAACTCTCCATCCCAGGCACAATGTGTAAAAAGTAAACCAATTTAGGTCAAAGTACGGCCTTCAACATGGAGCCTTGGCTCACACTGAACAGCAAGCTATAAAGACCCAAAAATGACGTGTAAAACAATTCAAACAGGAAAACATTTCTTGCAGGTATCATCTCAACTTGACATCTTTTTCATGGTTCATTGGTCATTATGATGTTTTCCTGGTTTAGTTTTTTCCTTAAATACTATATGCAATAGGTCAACTATATTTGATCCATGGAATGATTGTAAGGTGTATATGTCTGTCTGACAGGGTTCATCTGTCCTTTACCTAATTTTCATGGTTCAGTTGTCAATATAAAATTTTAATGATTTGGTCTGTCTTGTATACTACTAGCAAAAGATCAAGTATATTTGGTGTATGGAATGATTGTAAGATGTACATGTATTTCTGGCTTGGTTTATCTAACCTTGACCTCATTTTCTTTGATCATATTAAGTTCATGTGATACTTGTAGTAAAACTTTATATTAAGGAATATCGACATAAATGGTCAGTAAAGAAGCCGAGACATTTCAGCATGTGTACTCATGTTTGCAGTTTTGGCTGTTATCTAAAAACCTATAGGACCTAGGTTAAATATGAAAATTGCAAAAAATATCAGCAACACAAAGAGTAACTAGTATGTGCAGATAAAAATCGTAGTGAGCAAACTAGCAATATTTTCACAAGGTGAGCGACACAAATTTCAAATAGTGCAGAAAAGTTGAGATAGTCTTTTAGATGCTAGTATTACATGTTTTTGGATTAGATTAATATCTGAAAATATTAGGTCAGTAATTTTCAAGTCCATAATGATCATGTATTTTCAATTGGCATGAACAATTATAACTCAATGATAACTACAACAGTATATATTTGAAATATTTTTTTTTCTATATTTAGGATATAATGGAATATTGGAATAAGGTAAGATTTACTTTGAAGTCCAATTGTCATGTGACCTTTTATTTCCATTTTCTTACCAAAAATACATGTATGTGATGATTTGAGATACAAACTAGTAGAATTCTACGTGACCTACAAAAAAAGATATTACAAGGTCAAAGATAAAACAAACACAACAAAGATTGGGACAAAGAAAAATGTACTACAAACATTTGACTAAGGTGTTGCTAATAACAACTCATAGCAAAGATAGACATAAACTGCATGAAATTTCTTGCCTGTTTTATTGTTATGCCCCCGCCATAGCGGAGGGGGCATTAAGTTTTACCCTTGTCCGTCTGTACTTCCGTACGTCCGTCCGTACGTCCCAAAATTGGTTACTGTTCTCTAACTTTAGTTTGCCTCTACCAAATGTTATGAAACTTATCCACAATGTTTATTACCACAAAACAGAGATCAAGTTTGAATTTTGGTGGCGTCACTTTTACCATTCTAGAGTTATGCCCCTTTACAAATGAAAAAATTGCTGATTTTTTTGTTTCTGTTCTCTAACTTGAGTTTACCTCAACCAAATGTTATGAAACTTATCCACAATATTTATTACCACAATACACAGATCAGGTTTGAATTTTGGTGGTGTCACTTTCACCGTTCTAAAGTTATGCCCCTTTCCAATGGAAAAATTGCTGAAATATTAGTTTTTGTTCTCTAACTTTAGTTTGCCTCAACCAAATGTTATGCACAATGCTAATTACCATAATACACAGATCAAGTTTGAATTTTGTTGGCATCACATTTACCGTTCTAGAGTTATGCCCCTTTACAAATCTCAAAATTGCTGAAATATTTGTTTCTGTTCTCTAACTTTAGTTTGCCTCAACCAAATGTTATGAAACTTATGCACAATGCTAATTACCACAAAACACAGATAAAGGTTGAATTTTGGTGGCGTCAATTCTACTGTTCTAGAGTTATGCCCCTTTAAAAATGAAAAAATTGCTGAATTTTTCGTTTCTGTTCTCTAATTTAAGTTTACGTCAACTAAATGTTATGAAACTTATAAACAATTCTTATTACCACAAAACTCAGATCAAGTTCAAATTTGTGTAGTGTCACTTTTACAGTTCTTGAGTTATGGCCCTTTATAACGTTATATGCAAGCGGGGGCATCATCTGTTTCCCATGGACACATTCCCCATTTATTTTTTATAAATCATTAGTAACTTGCCAGAAATCCTCTGAGGTCATGGTGTCAGTAACTTGGAGCTGATTATCATGCATAATTTAGTGGCAGTTTAGTGTTTTAGGTTTTTTCATTTTCAGAAATGTATCGAATGTTTTTTAAATATAAGTGTATACACTCTCTTAAGGTTTATTCTATATCTAGTACCTTTAGAATGCTTGTTTACAATGTCAAATACATAACCCTATTGAGTTGTTAGAGAAAATATTGGACAATTTTTGATAAATAAAAAATACAGAAGTTCTCTCCTCTTGCAATTGTTAAGTTCATTAGTTGAAAAAAAACATATCTATTTTATGGTATAAAGTGTAAATTGACACAATGCACATTGTTATAACAAATTGTTATCCAAAAGTTTTTTTTATGCCCCATCAACTGAAAGTTGGGGGCATATTGTTTTACCCCTGTCTGTCCTTCCGTCCCATTATGGGTATATAGTTGTTCCAGATAACTCCTCCTACAGTTTGAATGCTAGGAAGTTTTAACTTTGCTGGCTGTTTGAACATATATTGAAGGTGTGCATGTCATCAGGGTTTAGATTTTGATTAATATTTGCTCTTTTGGGAGATAGTTGAACTTTATCATTTTTGGAGTATATATTTGCATATTTAAGAGGCGCATAGCGTTTCCAGATAACTCCTCCTACAGTGAACCATAGACCTATGTGCTCCCATGCTCAACTTTGTGTATGTTAAAATAACACTTTGCATCTGTGAGGGCATCATTTGTGTCTCCCAGACACCATAATATCTCAAGGAAAGGATAAGTTTGACCCGAACGTATCAAGTCATTTTCCGGTTTGCTGGTGAAACAAAGAAAACACTTGTTTCTATAATGCAAAATACACAAATACAATCGGATAAATCGATTTACAGATTGCCATCATTTTGATGATATTTAATTTATATTGTAAAATGTTAGCTGCTCGACACAATATGAAGCCTCTGAACTCATTCGCTGTGCTCCCATGAAAAAAGCTTCATATTGTGAATCACAGCTGATTCTTAACAATGTCAATATGCAGGCAACCTGATAATCGGTACATATCCTCTCTGCCTGAATGTTATTTGAAGTGAGGATACCCCCGATTTATATAGTTATTTGTCATGCAGGATAATAAATAATTATTGGTTTATTTAACAGTTGTTTCATTTATTTTTCATTACAATCTATTAAATGTAAAATCTATGTTTTACTTACAGAAACTTCTTGCAGATGCTGTGAATGGAGATATAGGTGCTTTAAAATTAAGCCTAGAGAATAAAGCAGACATTGATTATCAAAATGTAAGTAAAACAGTCTCATTAGGTACAGTAGTAACATCCAAATTAGTACTAGAGCAAATTAATTATGTACAGTAAAAAAAAACCACACAACTACAGACAACTTCAGAACATAGTAGATCTTACTTGAGCAATATAAATCACATAACTACATGTTACTTCAAAATACAGCAAATTGTAATAGAATGAAATACAATTGCATGTTACTTCAAAACCTGTCAGTTGAACATAAACAGTACAAAACACTTACTTTAAATAACTTTAACCTTGCTGGTTAACAATACAGCAGATTAATACAGTATAAATCACAACTCCAAGTCACTTCAAAACATGACAGTAAGAACATTGACAGAATAAAACACACAACTGTTAGTCACTTCAAAACATGACAGTAAGAACATAAACAGAATAAAATACACAACTGTTAGTCACTTCAAAACATCTCAGTAAGAACATAAACAGAATAAAATACACAACTGTTAGTCACTTCAAAACATGACAGTAAGAACATAAACAGAATAAAATACACAACTGTTAGTCACTTCAAAACATCTCAGTAAGAACATAAACAGAATAAAATACACAACTGTTAGTCACTTCAAAACATGACAGTAAGAACATAAACAGAATAAAACACACAACTGTTAGTCACTTCAAAACATCTCAGTAAGAACATAAACAGAATAAAATACACAACTGTTAGTCACTTCAAAACATGACAGTAAGAACATTGACAGAATAAAACACACAACTGTTAGTCACTTCATAACATAACAGTAAGAACATAAACAGAATAAAACACACAACTGTTAGTCACTTCAAAACATGACAGTAAGAACATACACAGAATAAAACACACAACTGTTAGTCACTTCAAAACATGACAGTAAGAACATAAACAGAATGAAACACACAACTGTTAGTCACTTCAAAACATGACAGTAAGAACATAAACAGAATAAATCACACAACTGTTAGTCACTTCAAAACATAACAGTAAGAACATCAACAGAATAAAACACACAACTGTTAGTCACTTCAAAACATGACAGTAAGAACATAAACAGAATAAAACACACAACTGTTAGTCACTTCAAAACATGACAGTAAGAACATAAACAGAATAAAACACACAACTGTTAGTCACTTCAAAACATGACAGTAAGAACATAAACAGAATAAAACACACAACTGTTAGTCACTTCAAAACATGACAGTAAGAACATAGACAGAATAAAACACACAACTGTTAGTCACTTCAAAACATAACAGTAAGAACATCAACAGAATAAAACACATAACTGTTAGTCACTTCAAAACATGACAGTAAGAACATCAACAGAATAAAACACACAACTGTTAGTCACTTCAAAACATGACAGTAAGAACATAAACAGAATAAAACACACAACTGTTAGTCACTTCAAAACATCTCAGTAAGAACATAGACAGAATAAAATACACAACTGTTAGTCACTTCAAAACATGACAGTAAGAACATAAACAGAATAAAACACACAACTGTTAGTCACTTCAAAACATGACAGTAAGAACATAAACAGAATAAAATACACAACTGTTAATCACTTCAAAACATGACAGTAAGAACATAAACAGAATAAAACACACAACTGTTAGTCACTTCAAAACATGACAGTAAGAACATAAACAGAATAAAATACACAACTGTTAATCACTTCAAAACATGACAGTAAGAACATAAACAGAATAAAACACACAACTGTTAGTCACTTCAAAACATGACAGTAAGAACATAAACAGAATAAAATACACAACTGTTAATCACTTCAAAACATGACAGTAAGAACATAAACAGAATAAAATACACAACTGTTAATCACTTCAAAACATAATAGTAAGAACATAAACAGAATAAAATACACAACTGTTAGTCACTTCAAAAATGACAGTAAGAACATCAACAGAATAAAATACACAACTGTAAGTCACTTCAAAACATGACAGTAAGAACATAAACAGAATAAAACGCACAACTGTTAGTCACTTCAAAACATAACAGTGAGCACATACACAGAATGAAACACATAACTGTTAGTCACTTCAAAACATGACAGTAAGAACATAAACAGAATAAAATACACAACTGTAAGTCACTTCATAACATGACAGTAAGAACATAAACAGAATAAAATACACAACTGTTAGTCACTTCAAAACATGACAGTAAGAACAGAAACAGAATAAAATACACAACTGTTAGTCACTTCATAACATGACAGAAAGAACAGAAACAGAATAAAACACACAACTGTTAGTCACTTCAAAACATGACAGTAAGAACAGAAACAGAATAAAACACACAACTGTTAGTCACTTCATAACATAACAGTAAGAACATAAACAGAATAAAATACACAACTGTTAGTCACTTCATAACATGACAGTAAGAACATAAACAGAATAAAATACACAACTGTTAGTCACTTCAAAACATGACAGTAAGAACATCAACAGAATAAAACACATAAATATAAGTCACTTAAACATGACAGTAAGAACAGAAACAGAATAAAACACATAACTATAAGTCACTTCAAAACATGACAGTAAGAACAGAAACAGAATAAAACACATAAAAAAAGTCACTCAAACATGACAGTAAGAAAATGCATAAAAGAATAAAACACACAACTGTTAGTCACTTAAACATGACAGTAAGAACATAAACAGAATAAAACACACAACTGTTAGTCACTTAAACATGACAGTAAGAACAGAAACAGAATAAAACACATAACTATAAGTCACTTAAACATGACAGTAAGAACATCAACAGAATAAAACACATAAATATAAGTCACTTCAACATGACAGTAAGAACAGAAACAGAATAAAACACATGACTATAAGTCACTTCAAAACATGACAGTAAGAACAGAAACAGAATAAAACACATAAAAAAAAGTCACTCAAACATGACAGTAAGAAAATGCATTAAAGAATAAAACACACAACTGTTAGTCACTTAAACATGACAGTAAGAACATAAACAGAATAAAACACATAACTACAAGTCACTTTAACATGACAGTAAGAACATCAACAGAATAAAACACATAACTATAAGTCACTACAAAACATGACAGTAAGAACATCAACAGAATAAAACACACAACTGTTAGTCACTTAAACATGACAGTTAGAACATAAACAGAATAAAACACATAACTACAAGTCACTTTAACATGACAGTAAGAACATCAACAGAATAAAACACATAACTATAAGTCACTACAAAACATGACAGTAAGAACATCAACAGAATAAAACACATAACTATAAGTCACTTAAACATGACAGTAAGAACAGAAACAGAATAAAACACATAAAAAAAAAGTCACTCAAACATGACAGTAAGAAAATGCATAAAAGAATAAAACACACAACTGTTAGTCACTTAAACATGACAGTAAGAACATAAACAGAATAAAACACATAACTATAAGTCACTTAAACATGACAGTAAGAACATAAACAGAATAAAACACACAACTGTTAGTCAATTAAACATGACAGTAAGAACATAAACAGAATAAAACACACAACTGTTAGTCACTTAAACATGACAGTAAGAACATAAACAGAATAAAACACATAACTATAAGTCACTTAAACATGACAGTAAGAACAGAAACAGAATAAAACACATAACTATAAGTCACTACAAAACATGACAGTAAGAACAGAAACAGAATAAAACACATAACTATAAGTCACTTAAACATGACAGTAAGAACAGAAACAGAATAAAACACACAACTGTTAGTCACTTCAAAGCATGACAGTAAGAAAATGCATAAAAGAATAAAACACACAACTGTTAGTCACTTCAAAGCATGACAGTAAGAACATCAACAGAATAAAACACATAACTATAAGTCACTTAAACATGACAGTAAGAACAGAAACAGAATAAAACACATAACTATAAGTCACTACAAAACATGACAGTAAGAACATCAACAGAATAAAACACATAAATATAAGTCACTTAAACATGACAGTAGGAACATAAACAGAATAAAACACATAAATATAAGTCACTTAAACATGACAGTAAGAACATAAACAGAATAAAACACACAACTGTTAGTCAATTAAACATGACAGTAAGAACAGAAACAGAATAAAACACATAACTATAAGTCACTCAAACATGACAGTAAGAACAGAAACAGAATAAAACACATAACTATAAGTCACTACAAAACATGACAGTAAGAACATCAACAGAATAAAACACATAACTATAAGTCACTACAAAACATGACAGTAAGAACATCAACAGAATAAAACACATAACTATAAGTCACTTAAACATGACAGTAAGAACAGAAACAGAATAAAACACATAACTATCAGTCACTTAAACATGACAGTAAGAACAGAAACAGAATAAAACACTTAACTATCAGTCACTACAAAACATGACAGTAAGAACATAAACAGAATAAAACACATAACTATAAGTCACTCAAACATGACAGTAAGAACATAAACAGAATAAAACACATAACTATAAGTCACTTAAACATGACAGTAAGAACAGAAACAGAATAAAACACATAACTATAAGTCACTTAAACATGACAGTAAGAACAGAAACAGAATAAAACACATAACTATAAGTCACTCAAACATGACAGTAAGAACAGAAACAGAATAAAACACATAACTATAAGTCACTTAAACATGACAGTAAGAACAGAAACAGAATAAAACACATAACTATAAGTCACTACAAAACATGACAGTAAGAACATAAACAGAATAAAACACATAGCTATAAGTCACTTAAACATAACAGTAAGAACAGAAACAGAATAAAACACATAACTATAAGTCACTACAAAACATGACAGTAAGAACATAAACAGAATAAAACACATAACTAT